CGAAATCTTTTCTTTCGTTCTATTAATTCTAACGTTTTATTTATTTACTTATTTATTGATTGTTTTATTTATTTTCTTCTTTCTATTTCCTGTTCATCTGCTGGCCAAGATGACCTTGTGTTGTCCAGGGAAACACTGTCTTCGTTTCGTTCATGTCGAGTTTTTATTTTTATTTTATTTTTATTTTATTTCTCTTTCTCCGAAACAGTTCATAGAAAAGGCCTTATGTTTACTCGAGAAGAAAAGAAAAAAAAAGGTTGGCAAAATGAACAGTCACATGAACGTAATGCTAAGATCTGAAAAGACCATTCGCCTTCAATCAACGGCAAAATTATTACGATATTTTATAGTTCTTCTTTTGCTGCCGATAATCTGGACTATATTGCTTATGTCTGTTTTCTGTTGGAGACCTTTACAATATTCAGTTTTTGGTTGGTTAGTTCAAATTTACACTCAACATTTTTGAAGAAGAATCCTCACCACACACATACGCACATACACAAACGTACACGCACACACGTGCGATCATACACGATTTGCTTTCAACGAAACACACACACATATATACACACACACATATATATATATATGTCGCAATCTTTTTTATACATGCTACATTAAATGTGACGGACAAGGAAAATTTTGTAGGGTTTTTATTAAATTTTTCTAATGTTCTTCATATTCAATGAAATATGTGTGTGTATGTATATTAATAAATATGCATATTACCTCTCACTGATAACGAGACCAAGAGTTTCATGAACAACACAATCTTCAGGTGCCGAGTATAAACTGGCCGTTACGTAATTTAAAGTATTAAAAAAATATATTTGTCTATCGGAATGTTCTTGTAAATATATATTATACTGGGATTATAGTTTGTTAATTTTTAGCATTTAAAATAAACTGGATATATATGTACAAAAAAAAAAATAAAGATTTTTTTATTTTTATTTTTTTATTTTTCATTTGAAAGCACTCTTACCCAACTATGCGTCCTAGAAATTTCAACTGTTTCTTTCTGATATTAAGCATAAGTCTCCTTTTTGTTTCCATTTTCTCTAAAACTTCATCGTTGCTCACATGGTATTCTAAGCATCCTTCTGTATAACCACGTTTCTATTGCCTCAAGTTTTTTTCTTCATCTGTGATGATGGGTTTTCCAGCATGCACTATCATGCAAATCCTTTTCATTGTTTCAACGAAATTTGGAAATTTGGATGAAAATATCTCTTGAAGTCGGATAATGAAAATATTTTACGTATAACCCGAATTACTTGTACGTAATCGACACCATACAAAAAAAAAATAAATAAATAAACTTAGATAAAAGCAAATTTTATAGTCAAAGTTTTCGTGCTAATGTAAAAAGAAAGAATGGAGAAAAATCTAAAACTTATAAGGGTTCAAATGTAATATGTACTTAAAACCTGAACAGCTACTTTGTGGAACAGACTCCTGCGTGGATGCTTCCATGGACTCTACAATCTTAACCTTCTCAAGTTCAGGGTTAATCGTTATCTAACTTCGTTATCCTCATAATCTTCACTATTTCCCTTATTACGTCCATATCACACACATTATTCGGTAACCTTTTACCTTGATCGGTTCTTGGACTTTTTATTAGGTGAACATTAGCATAAAAAAGATGGTACGATGGACCTTGAACATTCTACTGCCGTTTCTCATTACATATTTATGGGACGCAAGGTTTTCGACAATAAACAACATGAAAAATAAATACCGACATTGTCTCTATGTGAAACCAGATTGCTGCTTCCACCGACAAAAACAAATCCATGCATTGACAGTATAGTTGCCAAAAGACATACCCAACTTTGTCATTAGTTTTATAGATAAATCTGTTTTAATAACCCCAGTTATTACGATATCATTAAATAATATTAACGTGAATTCAGTTTAGTGATTTTATTTCATTAAAAAATTGGAGAAGAGAGCTAGATGTATTTTTTGTGCTTGGAGTAATCAACAGCATGGAAAAATAACTTTAGGTTAATGGAATGAAAATGTTTGAGAACTGCTACACTTTTTTCCCCGATTTCTTATCTCGCGTGTTTTGTGCGTAGGGATTGATATTGAAAGAGAAACGGAGGTAGAAAGTGAGAGAAAGAGAAAGAGAGATAGAGAATGCGTTCGTGATTGGAGAAAATATTGACAGGTTTATCAGAAAACGATTGGCTGAAAAATGAAGCACTTTGAACTTATTTTTATGAAGAAAGCATGAATACGTTGTTAATTATCCGATGAGAGTAACGCACGAAACAGGAACATTGTCACTGAAGGTCAGTCAAGTGTATTGCTGTTTACTAAGCTTAGCTAAGCACAACGCAAAGCCAAAAATTTCCAAGACTCAGTGAGGATCGAACTTATTAGAGTAGTCTTTATATGTATGTATGTATGTATGTATGTATGTATGTCTTGCCTCCTCTTCTGGGGTTGGTTTTTGGGGCGGCGGTCTTCCTCATGCTGTGAGGTCTTAGGCGACGGCGTTGATTCCATCACATTCACGTTGCCTTTTTTTCTCACAGTCGGTGATCACAAGTTGTTTTTATTTCGGAGATAAATGAGAACTTCAACAAAGTAATTTCAACTTTTAATAAAACTATTATTTTATTAACCACGTCGACGAGTGCATCTTCTAAGTAGCCAGTGGGGTTGCTCTCTCGCTAACCCATTGGGGAAAACGTTCCCAGACACGAAATAACACGTCTGCATACTTCGACGTGTAAAACTTCTTGAAAACTCATTCTATATTTAATATTCCGACGCTAGTTTTAGCCAATCAGAATCGACTTCTTTTGTTTTCCTGTATCTGACCTCAAAGATCAAAATGAGGAAGTCAGAGTAGAAATACAATTCTCTAAAAATAATAGTCTGCTAAAATATTATTTAACATATGTATGTATGTATGAGCATACTGGCCTTGTTCACTGTTGATCACAGATAATGCGTTCTCTCCCAGAACCTGTAACTAAGGTCCGCTCGGCATAGATGCAGTATAAACCACAGGTCGACTCTGAGGATGTTGAATGAATTCAAATGTGCCTGAGCAGCAGATATCTGCAACAGGGATTGGCTAGCCATCATATGCAGACAGACATACTGGGATAAGAACGGCCATTATATATATATATATATATATATATATATGGCAATACTTTTTTCTTTCCATATTTAATAGAAACTAGTATTTCAAGAATATAGATTTTGTCGTGTTACTTGTTTCAACGCCATATTTTTATTTTTATTTTTATTTTGAATCAATTCACCCCAACCAAGGCAATAAGCCACTAAGACAAATATACATGTTTGTGAATTTGGGCAGTAATCCCTCTTTAATTCATGTTTCGTTAAACAAGCCTGACAAGAAAAATTAAACACATATACCTTGTCAGTCTTGTTCAACGATACACACACACAAACACACACACGCACAAACACACATACACACACACATATATATATTGTAGGTACATCAGTAAATCGGTAAAGATAAACATTGTTCGACATTGTTTGGTTTCTTCATCGAAATCAAGCGCCAAGGTGGAATCAAAACACCTTTCTCGTTTAGAATCTCATAATATGCATTTTATATACTTGGGTGTCTGTCTGTATTGGACGTCGTCTTTACCGATTTGGTCATTGAAATAAACCGCGAAAGCGGAGACAAAACAACTTGGTTTTCCATAATTCGCATCTAGTATACTTGCGAGGTCGTCTATATTGAATGTCGCCTTAACCAATTTAGACAATGAGACCAAGCGCCATAGCAGAAATAAAACCTCTCTATTTTTCTTTTAGCATCATCAGTTACCATCTCTTCTAGTTGGGAGCTCGTATCTATTAATCGTAGTCTTTACCGTTTTGGTTACGGAGACAACGGTCTATAGCAGAGACTAAACATCATTTTCCACGTTCTCTTTCTAAGCACATTGTCCCTAGGAATATCATAATTTACATCTTGTATAATTGGGAGCCTTCATTACCGACTTGGACAACGAGATTAAACGCGAAATCAGAGAAAAAAAAAAAAACACTTTTGCTTTTGTCGGCCAAATGTCGATTGCATGGATGTGTATATTCATTAAACTCTGGTTTGCTGGTTGCGTGTAGAACTGTTTAAAAGAAGCGGTCATTTATTTTGTAATTAATTTCTTTATCTTTTTGTTTCTCTTTTATATAAACTATTGATCGAACATTACATCGCAGCTCAGTAATCTTTTCTTTGTTCCTATCAATCTTCCTATATGACAGTGAATGCTGGACTGTTTTCTCACAGATGAAGAGAAGACTGGAGGCAACAGAAATATGGTTTTGCAGAAGGATGCTCTGAATACCATATATGAAGAAATTTAAAGGGAAATGGAAACAAAATAAAAAAGAATGAAAAAGAAACCGCTGAAATCTCTGGGAAACATAATGAAGAAGGTGAACGTGGAAAATTTGACACTCAAAGAGACAGAGGCTAGCCTGATGAACTTGTGTGACTGATGACAAAACGGGGAGTGAGAAGGATGGTAAAAAGACAAACTTTACTGTTACAAAAGATAGGAAGTTGTGGAGAGCCATTATCGCTCATATTCTTAAGAGACAGCAACTTGTTCAACTTCTTTTTGATAAGTCAATAATATTCAAATCAGTGACATTTTTGCATGTTTGCCCATATTCTTTTCTCTTTTAATGATATGTAGATATACGAACGTCTCTGATAAACATAACGTCAATGGTTGTTGATATCAATGATTTATTTTCAATTGTTTTATCAAAACAGGCTTTGGTTTTTCATTGTTATTTTTTTCCTTTATTGTCTGTGTTTGTGCAGAGAACAATTGAAGACTTGATTAACCCGTTTATCTTTGTTGCAGAGCTTCTCATAGGGTAATGCTTTCAGAAACAACGTTGGTTTGTCTGTCCAGCTGGGAATCAGTTTGGTCGCGCTTGTAAAACAACTCTGTTTTACGTTTTTATTTGTTTTTTAAATGTGTTTCTTTCTTCGTTGTATTTTGCAGGAAATAACAGGAAAACGAAAGAACGAACAAGGGTTTAGGGCTCCCGACAGCCCTGGAAAAATAGTCTCCTCTTATCATAATGACGGCGGACATGGGCGAAGTAAAGGAAACACTAGATGTAAGGGAGAATTTCCAGGTAGGTGACTTACAGAGTCACTGTATCTAGATTTCTTACTTTATTTATTTATTCATTCATTCATTTATTTATTCGCTTAAATGCTGCCTTTGGCAAATTTCAATCAATGTCGAATTACTTACTGTTTATGGGTTGTATCATATAATTATTTTCAAATGCTAATTATTAGTAATCGCAGCTATTATTTTTAAATATTATTATTAACATATCAACACTAACATGTCGCTATAGTTGACGGAGAAGAGTGCAGACAGGTTACTGCATATTCCGCCTATTTTCTTATTAAGAAAACTCTGTGATTAGCAGTGAATAAGCCTGAGATTATCCTTCATGGAAAAACATTTTTTATCAATTTATATTTTATTAAAAATCACATTTTATAGCATTGTAATGGTATTGCGCTAACAAATTTCCGCTATGGTTTGCTATTTTTGCTGCGTTACGGTAATAAACACACATAGAAAAATGGATCGTTATAATATAGATTCGTTTGCTTTCGTGATATCTAAAGTTGGGTTTGGTAGAAGTATTTTACGATTCATGTCAAGATCTCTTTATTGGTTATTAGACTTCAGTTAGTAAGTAAACATTGATTGGGTTTATATTTCATTCTATCGGAAAACATTGATTGGGTTTGTAAGCAAAATTGATCGGATTAAATATTTGAGTCTATAGGCAAACACTGATCGGATTAATTTTTTAAAAACTATTGTTCATCCAATACAAGGCCAAAGAGCCGATCGAGGTAGAGGGTTAGTGAAAAAGGTTGCTGTAAGAACGTACATGGAGGAAGGTGTATAATATGAGGATACTTATGATAGAGAACGGTTTATCCTCGAAATGGTTAACATTCTAACGATCAGGGAAGCATTCCTTTGGGAGTCGGTTCCACAACGCAACAGTTCTGTATAAGAAGCTGTCTGAACGGAACTTCTTCCTTAACAGTGACATACGAAAGAAATGAGGATGAGTCGACCGGTTACACGGAATGGTGGGTCATGGCTGTGAAGGTCTAGACAGACGGAATTAAGGAATGTAACTTGTTTAAATACCTGCAATGGAAACAGCGATAGAGTAGCAACGTTTCGTCTGTGGGGAACGGATCGTAGGGTGGGGTCACCAACAAGGCCGTATGAACATTTCTGATCTTTGCGAAGACTAGAAAGTGAAGGATTGAGTCTGCAGGCATGCAAGCGGAATGTGGCTCTTTTTGTTTTGGGCGTTTTTTTTTTTTTTTTTTTAATATCTATAGTAGATGCGTATTATAGACCCGAAAATGATAGTTATTCTTATGAGTAAAAATATAGATTGATCTTGTGTTTTGGTTTCAGTTTCAAGTGAATTTGTTTATATTTATACAGGTATCGTTTGTGGGAAATAAATCAGTAAATTAGGTTGTTATAAGTATATTCATCACTATTTCTTTAAATGTTACCTGTTTCTTTTGGGCAAAAGGTGGTTGCATGAAGTAAGGACATATATATATATATATATATATATATATATATATATATATATATATATATATGGATGCACCATTGAGGAATGGATAGCGGAAAGCCGGGTATGAATTCCAGTCGAGTTTATTACATTCTCTTACGTGCTAATACCCTTGGGAAATGTAGGAATCCATCTCTTCTCCCCATCCAGCTATGGGTAAATAGCAGGTCACACTGGATCCTATAGCCTTGGGTGATAAAGAGTATGGAAGAAGGACAACTCTGAATTTAAAACCTGAGGAGGGTCGTTTGGAGATCTTGTGGCATGCCGTGAACCAATTCTCTATATTCGGCTCCACCAAAAAGTGTGGTCGATTCTGTACAAGCCTTCAACACTATAATCAAAATCATCATATGTTTGGGTAGTGTGGCTATTTGGTTCTAAGGACTGAAATGGTAGACAGTCATACGTCGAATAACGACGGCAGATTCCTCCATCTATATAAAGGAGGCACGGTGGAGTAATGGACAGCGGCTTGGATTGAGGAATCGGAGAGCCGAGTTCGAATTCCAATCGAATCCATTACATTCACTTACGTGCTAATACCCTTGGGAAAGGTATGAATCCTCTTCTTCTCCTCCCAGCTATGGCTAAATATCAGGACAGATCGGGTTCTATAGCCTTGGATGGCAACTGGTCTAGGAGAAGGGCAACTCTGAATTCAAAACCTGCTGAGGTCGTTTGGTGACCTTGTGGCACATAGTTCACCAGGTCTCTGTATTCGGCGAGAGAATATATATATAAATATATATATATATATATATATATATATATATAACTGTAGCCGTTTTCTCAAGAATGCGTCGGGTAGAACACGCATGTAGACTGGGTTCTATAGCCTTGGATGGCAGCTGGTCTGGAACACGCACGAGGAATTTTTTTTTAGGATAAACTCCTTCGTTGTTAGTACACGCTTCTCTCGATCACATCGATTGAACATAATAAATTGAAAATTTCAGACCTTTGCAAAATTTATCCACCCAGTATAAATAAATTACTTCCTTTTCAGTGCATCCTTCTCCATCCTTCACACGAATTGAACATTATACAGTGAAAATTTCAGATCGAAATTCTGTTTTATACCATACTAATCCCACATTTTTCCCAAATTGTATTTTTATTCCTTTTCTCCATTATCATCTTCCTCTGTAGATATGTCGAACATTTGTACATATATCACACGGTTTTGGTAACATATGCTTCGATTAAATGCAGTATTTTGGTGTATGGGAAGTATGGGTGTGTTCTTTTGATGGTTTGGTTTGGTTTATTTTGTTTTACGGCATATCAACCTCAATTGGTTATTTAATGCCGACAACATTTTTTATTGTTGGTAATATTTTGTTTTGTCAAAAATCTGTGGTAATATTTTTCCATCAAAATTGTATTGCTGGTAATATTTTTTTCAGAAAAGTATTGCCGGTAATAGTTAACTATTTGCCCATAGCTTGGACCCTAACAGGTGCTACCACCCCGGGTCAGGGTGGACCTGGCAACATCAGCAATTAAGAGGTGGTTCCACGCTCCTCAAAACCTCCTGATCAGAGGCCCTGTTGCGGGATGTAGTTGATCGTCTTACCCAGGACGCGGATGTAGTTTAACGTCTTTACCCAGGACGAGTTCTTTTGATGTAAGTAAATATGTAATGCGAATAGATTGTGAATAAAAACGAATTAAGATTACGATCGAATACCGAAAATTGGGCCCCCCACTTCTTATTCCTTATCGTCTTGTAGCAATTCCTTTTGAAGACGCCTGGTCAGGCACATTTGTGTTTGTTCAGTACCTCAGAACAAACTTGCGGTTTATTGTTGAAACTTGACTAATGCATGGAATAATAATGCAACACAAAAGGTACTTAGAACAAAATGTATTGAAACAAGAAAGTGTACACAATATTTACATATAGTCTTTTGTGTATTCCTGGGAAGACCGTTCCTGGAGAATGTGTTGACTGAGTCGCAGTCGGGCAGAGTCTCTGGTTGAATCTCTTGATTCCTCCCTCTCTTCCCGGTACCAACCATATTTATATGGTCGGTACTCCACTATGCAAATTAGGTGGATCCTACCACAACATTTATACTGCAACTATGCTGCGTAAACATTACTTGCTGTCTCTGTGGGGTAACGCATAATCTGGTCTGCCCAGTTGTCCAGTACACTCAAAACCTCGTTCACGATGACATTTGACTTCTTGCTACCACGACCATTGGCGGCTTCCGAATAGTTCCGTCCACCCTATTTCACTGTCAAGTCTTTCAAACATTTTCCAACAGTGCCGCACGTTGGGATTGTCTCTCTAGGCGAGTGGTATCAAATGGCCATCTTGACAATTCGACTATAGCGAAATTCGTACCCGAAATCTTTATGCGTTTACAAATAATTATTACCATTTTCTAGTCAGGTGTTATTTGTCCAAGGAGTTCGCCGCCGACATTTGACTTTGTCTCCATCTTTTTGGATCAATTTGGCACAAAATAGTCGAGTTCCCTGGTGGATAGAGAGCTGTCTCACAAACAGGATCACGTATATTGCATTATAAGTAAACTAGTAGAGCAGACTGGGCTCTCTAGCCTTGCTAGGGAAATCGTTCTAGGAAGTGGGTAATTCTGTATTCAAAACTGTGGCGAATGCAAAGCAATTCAGAGATATTAATGTTGTTGAGTTGTTGGGAGTGTTCCCGCGTGTGTGTATTCGAATAAAGACAAACACAGTTGTAGGGATAAATACTGGTATATTTGTAAGAGGTAATTAACAACAGAGTGATTAGTAATAAGGAACGCTGGTTAGTAAGTAACCATAGCAATAGTCTACAGTCCAACGGTATGTAATGGTAACCTGATCCTCACACAACACACTACTCTCTCTAGCACTGACTTATATCGTAGAGGGATAATTCCATTATCAGTCAGAAGGTGGGTGCGCCCCAACAAATGTAAAGAGGAAAGCCATGATTGCTTCCGTACTAGAGGCATAGCAAAAGATTTTATGGTATGGAAGCCTGTTACTTTTTTAAGAGTAATTTTCGTAAGTTTACGTTTTGAAAACTTTGTCTTCGTTCTTTATCATGAATTTGTTTGTCAGTTGACGAACTGGACTTCAATTTATGTTTTGTGGTATTAATGTTTTGGTATTTAGCTGTTTCCGTGGAAATTCTATGAGTGTTTTTTTTTTTTAATCAGTATCACCCCATGCAAGGCAGTACAGCCACTAGTACACAAGGGGTTACAGGGTGTGGAAGAATTAGGAACAGAAACGTTGATAAGGAGGAGAAAGAAAAGAGTAATCAGGAGGACAGTAGATAGCGATTGACATTGCATTTAAATTTTTGCAGATTAAAGTTCATTGGAAAACATGTGACCGAGAGGGAGTTCCACAAGCGAGAACTGCGAGAAACTATTAGCATATAACTTCTGGCTACATCTCGCTAGCTCAACTATAAACTGATATGACCTCGCCGCCAGTCTATTATTACACTTAAATTCCGTCTAGGTACCATA